AGAAATGTTATATATACAGTACACATGTGTGTCTGCAAACATATGTACAGTATATGTCTGTAGTGTAAGTGTATGGGAAAGAGAATAGCTGAAATTTGCAGATGAGAATTCAGTTTATAAGTGTGATATATTGTTAATAGGCAATTAGCTTGAAATAATCACTTTCCCTCTCTCCTGATTTTCCTAATGGCAGGTGAACTTTCTGCAAAAGTTACCAATTTGTCAAGATGGAGAAAAAGGGCTTTGGACCAAATTTTCTCTATCCATATATACTTTTCCTTGGGAATACTTGTTAAATTTAGGGTTATCTTCCTTTTGAGGAAGAAAACCACCATAACCACCACATGGAATTTTAAACTAGATTGCTGTAGTGAATATTTCAGTCTTGATAGGTCTCAGAACAGCACTATTAGTTTAATTATTGACACTCAGTTTCTTTGTCATTCATTCCTGTTGATTCCTTTGAGATCAGCTTCAGCTCTAGAGATACAAAGCAGCCACATGCCTGTAAAGCCACATGCCTCAGACACCAAGCACTACAAATTAGTATCTTTGTGGGGATTTGTTTTATCTTGACTTCTTGGTGTGAGTCAGTAGCCTAATCCATTCAGTGAATTCTAATGATTTGAATGAAACTCCTACCTTATAAATGAAATTTATAAGGTTCAAAATCACCAGCACCAGGTGCACACATTAAGGTGACTTTACATTAACCTATTGAATGTTATTTTATATTTCTCAACTGCATGAAGAATTCTGAGAACAAGACACAAGCTTGCCTCCAGAGATGTTCTCAGCGTTTCTGACATGTTTGGGATACTGCCTCCAAAATAATTAGCTGAACAAAAGAAATAAAATTACAAAAACAGAAAATCTGCCTGCCATGGATTACATAATAATCTGATCAATTAAAAAGCAACAACTTTCTCCCACATATGTCCTCCAGATTTGTGTACCAAGTCAGGAGGAAATTCTGACAGTCAATTCCAATATATCTGGAGTATATCATACTCAAAAAATTGTTTTCAGGAGAGCCACAGTCATAGAGATCTTCCTTAATACAGCAAAGGCTAACAGATGCCATTTTAACTGGATGCATTGATATATGGTTTCAGTACTTTATCAACCTCCCTAACATTACATCAAATGTGAGACAAATTCTTTAGTTGTATGGTACAGTCTCTAAAAGATTTCTTTGGTTAGTTCTCCATGTACTAAAACCATTCTGTTTCCATGTACTAATACTAAGTCACCATTTCCTTTTATAATGCAAGAATGCTTAGTAGTACTTTTCAAGGGTCTTTTGTCTAACTCCTGTCACTTCTTTCTTTTCAATGCTGTTTCACTTCCCAGAAATGTCACAACCACTCTTTAAAAACAGCAAAATGTTGCAATTATCTCTAGCCATATCATAAATTGAGCAAGACTGTAGAAAATGTGAATTCCTATTGTATTTATCCCAATCCTATATATATATATATGTGTGGTCTCTTTTACAGCCTAAACCTGATCATAAATAAGCTTTACCATATTTAGTAGAACATATTTCCAGATCAGCATTCAGAATACTTATAATCCAATTTATGATTGGATCTAATATCAAAATAACTTTACTCGTAAATAGAGAAATTGTTGACAGTCTTAGGTTAGTAATTACTTCACAGGTATTTTTAAGAGAGAATAAACCCAGAGGCAACAAAACTGCAAAACATTTAATACTTTAAAAATTAAAGTATTTAAAAATTCAGTACTAATAGCAGTAATATCCACTATATAATTTAATTGCATCTACACATATCCATTCTTTGGTATCTTATTTTATTTCACCTTGGAAAACTATATAGAAAACCACAGTGACTGTTTTATGATAAAGTTGAATCCCAGCTCAAATAACCATTAACCATGAAAATCTTTACTATCAGAACACAATTGATCTCATAGAGATATCAGCTTAGAACTTATTTAGGTCCGAGGAGTCACGTAATATTATATAACAGAATAGTAACTTCAATGTAACAGGAGAGACTAAGATTTCTCAGCTTATTTCAGATTCTACTTCTATTTTATATGTGCTGAAAGTTTCCCAGTCATCCTTTATAAACAAAGGACTAATTTTAGGTTTTGACTTTCTGAAATATTTGGTCCTAAGAAACTCTGTGTCAGTAGTTTTACTAATCTTTAAAAACTCACATGCAAGCATGCCCCTTTCATTTTATTTTTTATAACAACAAAACATATTTTGTACTTCCCAGAAAATCAGTAGTCAGATATATGTTGTCCTTTGGAAGGTAATAAAGGTAAAGACTGTGTTTACTCCTAGGAGAACTAAAAGATTGCCTCATCCACCAAGAACAGAGCAGAAATAATTCACTATACAATAACTTCTTGAGGTAATTTCATTCTACTACAGCCCATTCCTATGCACAGTGAGCTGCATCCTAGATTACTCAGATTTATCCACTGCTGGCTCTGTAGGTTTGAGCATTAATGCAATGCGTATCGTACATATGACTGAATTGACAGAAGTCATATAAATTATTTGTGCAGAATTCCAGAATCATGAATTAAGTTACATTTAAGTACTTGGATAGTAAAGGAAAGAACATGGCAAATTTGTTGGAGGACACTGTAAAAATACATCTCTAGAATAATACCATATTTATATAATCACATGCTAATGTTAGCCATTTTGCCTTTTATTGATATTTAAATTTAAATTTAAAAATATATTTAAAATTTTAAATTTAAAAATCAACTAAAGACAACTGAAAAGTATTAGCATGTGATTGTACGAAATGCTGTTGTTCTAATGGTGCCTTTTTTCATGGTATTGTTTTAGACATCTATTTTAAATAGTCAATTTGGTATAGTTAAGGCACCATGCTAGAAACTGGGAGACTGTGAGTTCTAGTCCTGCATTAGGCACAAAGTCAGCTGGGTGACTTTGGGCCAGTCATTCTTTCTCAAACTGAAGAAACAGACAATGGCAAACCACTTCTATAATCTTCCCAAGAAAACTGCAAGATTGCAAATTTATCTTGGACAGTCTTAGAGCTATACTATACAAATGGTCCACTGTCATACCTCTCATTCAGTGACTGTTTGAACTTCAAAGGCCCTGAATTAAGTGGTAATGGGGAAGCCAGATTCACTTAATAATCATGTTACTAACTTAATAACTGCAGAGGTTCACTTAACAACTATGGCAAGAAAGATCATAAAATGGGGCAAAACTCACTTAACAATTCTCTTGCTTAACAACAAATTTTGGGCTCAATTGTGATCATAAGTCAAGGTACCCATAATGTTGCATTTTACTACCATGTCACTTAGCAACGGCAATTCTAGTCACAATTACCATTGTGACCTGTACCTAAATGCATTGTTTTTTGCTACTTCATTGACACAGCCACTTCCTTTTTTTCACTTGCCTTTTTTTATTTGATGAAAAGTTGTAAATAATGTGAAGGCTTGTTTATTACTCATTAGTTTTGGTTTTTTTAACTACATACCATTTTCTTCATTTATTAGTTACAGTGCATTTCCAATTACACTTAACCTTTCTATACAATGAAATTCTGGAGAAATTGTGGATTGGCTAATTTCCCTTAGTGAAACTCATCTGTCCCTCTCCCTCCCAATTTCTAGACATAGTTTTTCTCTTCCGATTCCCTGCAGTGGTCCAACCCATTTAACATTTTCCTGAGGTATCATTATTTTACAGGAGTTCAGAGTGCAATAGGGTGATAGCACCTTGGCAACTTTACACCCTGTCTCCACAGTAGCAATTTACATTTTGGGGATACAAGATAAAGAAATTAAAAATGGATCAGGATGGGGCATTGATTGGATACCAATTTTTGTAGAATTTAATTGGTCAGCTATGGATTTCTCAGCATTTTAAACCTGGCAGCAACTGTATTGACTACAAGTTAATTTCATACTGTTTTTGAAGGACTGGAGAGTGATAAAATTAGCATTAAACTATTCTTAATAGCTGAAGATCAGGAGTGTCAAACTGCCGGCCCGCGGGCCGGATGCATCATCCAGAAGCCGTACCTACCCCATTGCCGGCAATGGCAAAACCGTCCCGATATGTTGCGCAACGTCACGTGACGTCACAAGTTTGACATGTCTGCTGTAGATTATATTTTGGTTGGTAGTTCTCTATCAGCTGCCACATCTTCAACATTAATTCAAAAAGAGCTCAGCAGAAATTTAAATATTTTGCTTCTGAATACTTATAAGCTCAATATGACAAATATAGTTAGTAGGAAATATGAAATACTTTATGATGTCTCTAAAAAAAAAACCAAAATTACTCACAACTGACAAGACATGCATAAAACAGTACTCTGACAGAGAGAGTCCTATGGATTCCCAATTACAAGTCTCTTTTAAAATATGCCTTAAGAAACTTTACTACCTGCACAATTATCACTGGAAATATTTAGAAAAGCTATTGATAAAAAAAATAAAATGAAGTCATGAGTAGCTTCTACACTATTTATTTTAATGTGTCTAAAATATTACAGTGCCATATTCTGTAAATAGCTATCTCAAAATTCAAAATGTCTATAAATTCTAAACACACAAGAAATTCAAAACTAAAGTTCAGTAATATAATCTTGTATTTATGCTTCTGAGAAAAGTTGGTTTCTTCTAGAATTCTCTTTCTTGATCCCATACAGTAATTTGTTTCTAGCAACTATCAAAAAGAACCTGAACAAAAAGGCTAGATCTCCTTTGAGCCTAATTTATATCTGGCAATTCATCAGAAAGCATAAATGTGGAAATATATTTACAAAATAATTTTCAATACACCTTTCTGTATTGCACATACAGAAAGTACTGTATATTTTTTTCTTACCTAAACCAAATTCCTTTATGTTAGTGCAATAGTATAATATTGACATAGACAAATATATTTCTTAGGGCTACAAGTATCCCAGTTAAAGCCTGTCAGACTTGTTATGACAGATCTTCTCTTTTTTTCTTACCTTGGCAACTTTTCAAAATCCATTTTGTAATATCATTTTTTAAAAATAGTCTTTTATACAGAGCACCAGCTGAAAGAAAAGAAGGATAAGAAAAACACACTTAGGAGTTGTAGGGTCGAATATATACTTAAATGGGTTTCAAGGGTCAGTAAAAAATCAAATACCTTGCATCACTAACTGCTGAGACTTGTTTAGCAGTGAAAAAAATCACCCAGCATTTACACAACCAACCGAATTGTCTTTTTTTAAATAATTTTTTATTAATAATACAAAATTAAAAACATATTGGACATAGATATGACCAACCGAATTGTCTTACTGGCGTGCGGGAAATTTTGAACAATTAAAATCCTCAGACACACGAAAATTAAATACTCGGTCCTGACCAGGATTCTTCTTACCTGCTTCCTCAAAAGCAAGCAAACCAGGGGCGAGACCTGCAGCTAATTCAGTTGCGACCTAACTTCTTTCCTTTCCCAGCCCAAAGCATGCTTGCTTACCACAAGAGACTCGTAGCGTTTTCAAGCTGACATCGCGCTCGCTTCCTTCTTCCGATTTTTTACTGCGCGCGACTGGCCGCTTGGGGCTGTTTTTCTACTGACGTGGTAACCCGAGAGCGCGCGGCTCAAATACAAACCATCTGATGCGGGTCCGGCTGCTTCTCGGCTTGACGAGGGTTTCCGACCCCAGGCAGAGATATTCCTTCCCCCCGCGGTCCTGAGATAGCTGCCGTAACCCGGGGAGTCGTCTCTTACCTAGTTTGTAGGAGAGGCGCGCCCAAATGCTCCCTAGCCCCGTGCCTGCGCAGGGTGGAGCCTGCTTTCTACACCCTTTGGGGGTGATTCTGACCAGCCGCCGCTCTCCCGCCCGAAGCTTTCGCTCACCGCGGTTTCTCGTCAGCGCGGGACAAAAGGCCAGCAAAATCCTGCCCTACGTACTAACCTCTTTCCCCTTGCACCGGACTGGGAGGTGGTGGCGGCTGCGACGGCTCCTTCTCCGGCTACTGTGGGAACAACAGCCAGAGACGCCATGAGGTTTCTTCCAGTGCAAGAGCCGAGCCAGGGTCACTCGAGGACGCGTTCCAACGTTGGATTCATGTGACTTTGACACGAACTCGGCAGGACCTCTCGCCCCCTGGCGGATATCTGCGACGCCGAAAGCAGAAAGTGCTGCGAAGTAGTTCAGGTTCAGAGCCTGGGAAATTGGTATCTTCTTTTTTATCTGTGTGTTTTTAGTACGGTAGGCACCGTCAAGGACCATAGGCAAAATGCAGTAAGTCCGTCATTTATCGTAGAATAGCTTCATACTGTCATGTTTCCTAATAAAATGTTCTTTAAGGAAGAATTCTTGCCTTGAAGTTTTTACCGGTTTCATCTACCATGACATTAACCCAAAACTAAGACATACAGTATTAGCAATGACTGTAAAAATCGCAGTAACCTCAGCAGAAATAAAAAATGACAAGAGGCTAAGAATTCACTGTCTCACATTTTTTATTTTTCATTTATAAATACCTAATCTGTTTACATATATTTTAAGGCAGTTTACATTAAATAGCACCAGAAAAACAGTTGACAATTTAAATTATTCAGATAAACTACTTAAAAAAATTGCAAGCAACATATAAAGGCACCTATTCATTTGTTTTTGAATTGGGATCAACTCCTGTTGGCAAATGCTCACCATTCTGATCCGTCTTTAATAATAGCTAGTATCTCTTCCAAGGACAACACATTAATCTTTGATCCATATCATCCAGCTTAACCATTGTCTTTCCCTTGTATTTTTCTCAACCTTGCCAGTATATTTTATCTAGTCCATTATCTTCTGGCATAATGTATCTAAAATATGTATGTGTATTTTGCTTGCTGATCATTCCTTGAACATTCCATCTAGGACTTGACTAATAGTACTCTTGTTAATAATCTCAGAATCCATAAGCCAAAGTCTCACTTGCTCCTTCTCTAGGTCCAGGGCCTAGACATGGCAAGCTACCTCTTGGATGGAAAGTCCCATAAATATTATATTTCTACAAGTTCTTCGCCCCACCTACTATACTTGACTCACTAATGCTGACCAAAGAACATCTGTACCATGAGATGGACACTCTCTTCCTAAATCAAACTGGATAATATATAAGCCTAGTTTGGGTGCTTTGGCATCTGAAGCAGAATATTCAAACGTTCTTCCCCATTTATTGTTCTTGCAGGATACAGTAATAATTAAGACATAATGGTTTCATGCCATGCAAAATGAGCTGCCTAAAGCAGCTGTGTCACTGCTCAAAGGTAAAGCTGGTTTCTTAGTCGTAGGGACAAAAAAAGGTTTTGAAGATGATCTCAATAAGTAAGCTGAAAAACAGGAAAGAAAGCCTAAGACAACACCTCTTCACTCTATGCTAGCTTTTCCCAATTTTCTTTCTGACTCTCACTATGGTCTCTTTTATACAGTTAAAACAAAAGTTTGGTGTAATGTTGGATTCTTGGTGCTCTCTGATTTCTTGCAGATGTTTCCTTACCAAGCTAGACAGCATTATAGTGTGAGGGAGAATGGGATTTACTTGCTGTTTATATGCTGACTGAGGTATGTTAGATGGTAACAGAAAAGTATATATTTTTATATATTAGATTCATCACCAAGTAGTTTGGATCTGGGAACCTTGGGGAATATTCTGTATATGTATAACTGAATGTTGGTCCATTGAGCATGATGATTCTTCATTTCATTAGTTGTCCTTTTTTCCCCAAAGGAAAAAACATTTCCCTTAAGCATCTCAATTCATTTTATGTGAAATCAGTAAGCAATAGTTTAATAAACTATGATTAAGCAATAATAGTATGTCTAAAACTTAATTATTGTATCTCTGAGCCATTTAATTGTGAAGTGCGAATCTGGCAGTCAATATGGGATAAAAGCTAAGTATAAATATATTTTATAAATTAGAATATAACCCCTTATCACTTTCAATCAGTTCAGATCATTTATTGTAGTCCATGACCAAAAATCAAATTAAGCTAAAGAATTTTATTATCACAACTTATAAGCAATTTGTATCAGGTAGTTAATAAACTGAAAACAGTTATACTATTTTATAATAATCAACAGCAATAGCAGACACACTGGAAAATAATAAAAAAATAAGATAAATTTCCAGATTTCATCATTTATTTGCTAGTTGCATTTATTTGGTATAAAGCAGACTTTGGCAACTGTAAAAATATTATCATGATTAAAATTGTGAAGAAAATTGATATACCGGTATAAAATTTACCTGATTTACAACAAACTTACCTTGAATTGGAATTAGCATATTACCCCAATCCACAGTAAACTTACCTCAAATTGAAAAGCAACACATTGATAGTATAACAACGCACAACACATTGTTTCAACTGCTTCCAAATGACAACGGCAAAACCTGTCTGCAAAGGGAGTAAGTTGGTATGTTTCTTCTTTTAGAACTGAAAACAGAACACTAAACCTTGCTAAGATGAAAACCCTATGGTATTTTTCAATGTCAAAAATATAAAGGTATTTAGCTGGGGCAAAGTCTTTGCTTATATTTCTCTTTTCAAAGCATCAATTAGTCTTACCATGAACCTGCCTCAAGAGAAGGGCTGCACTGGAAGCACAATCAGGGTTCCCGAGGGTACTCTTTGAAAACTTGGACTGAATACCTCCAGGAGGAAGAATACCTTGTAGATGCAATTCTGTGTGCCATATTACAGCACAGCAACTGCCTTGCACTGGAAGACAAGGCTGTATTAAGGCTTGTAAAGCACTTCTTTGCTAGATCTGTCCAAACTGTGCAGAAAAATGGACTTCTCAATTATGGATAGCAGAAGTTGCTTCAGCAACTTTTTGTATTTTTCCTAACTTAATATTTACATAATTTTCCATTGTTTTTCAGGTAATTTGAGATTATATAATCTTTTCCAAGATTTAACCTATTCTTTTCCCAAACACCTCTATTGGTATATGCTGTGAGATATATTTACATAGGGAAAAGTATATTCCCAACATGTGGAATATCTGTGCAGTGTCTTCTTTAACAAGTTATGTTATTTTCTGTAGCTCAGCTCATCCTAACAATCAAATTTTATGACTCTGATAGATTTAATTTTACAGTCTTTCCTGACTCTGGGTTCCACTGATGCAGTGTCATCAGATACCAGGGTTTTAGTGAACATATGGTGATTTTCTATCCAAATGGAGTGGCAAAGTTAATACTGTACCTGCCACAGCACAGTTACAACTAGTAAAATGATTGATTATAGAGGTATTTTTCTATCTTCAAGATATTGCCTTTTCTCTTGCTGGACACTTGACACAAGAGTGAGAAACTACTATCTGGAGGCCTGTCTTTAGCTGCACTTTTGAGAATACTTCCCTTTATTTACATCCTTGGGGGTTGGAGAAGATTCAGCCATTCACTTCATAATTTCCTAATGGAATACTTGGCTCTTTTGGCCAGCTATTTCTCTTGATTATATTGCATAAAACAGAAAAGCAGCAGAGTGGGAGTTGGGAGGACAAGGAAAAGAAATAATCTAGATGAAAACAAACATTCAGAGGTAATAGAATCCTTATTTCCAGAGATCACTGAATGTATTCACAAAAGAACGCAAAACAGGGATTTGTATTATTACTTTGAAGATGACTAATAATAATAATAATAATAAGTTGGAAGGGACCTTGGAGGTCATCTTGTCCAACCCCTTGCTCAGGCAGGAAACCTACCATTTCAGATAAATGGCTGTCCAGCCTCTTCTTAAAAACTTCCCGTGTTGGAGCATTCACTGCTTCTGGAGGCAGGTTGTTCCACTAGTTAATTGTTCTAATTGTCAGGAAGTTTCTCCTTAGTTCTAGGTTGCTTCTCTCCTTGGTTAGTTTCCACCCGTTGCTTCTTGTCCTGCCTTCAGGCGCTTTGGAGAATAGCCTGACTCCTGAGATATTCGAACACTGCTATCATGTCCTCCCTCGTCCTTCTCTTCATTAAACTAAATATAGCCAGTTCCAGTAACCGTTCCTTATATGCTTTAGCCTCCAGTCCCCTAATCATCTTTGTTGCTCTTTTCTGTACTCTTTCTAGAGTCTCAACATCTTTTTTACATGGTGGTGACCAAAACTGGATGCAGTATTCCAAGTGTGGCCTTACCAAGGCATTGTAAAGTGGTATTAATACTTCACATGATCTTGATTCTATCCGTTAATGCAGCTTAGCACTGTGTTGGCTTTTTTGGCAGCTGCAGCACACTGCTGGCTTATATTTAAGTGACTGTCCATTAAGACTCCCAAGATCCCTCTCACAGTTGCTACTATTGAGCAAGGTACCACCTATACTATACCTGTACATTTGTTTTTTCTTGCCTAAATGTAGAACCTTACTTTTTTCACCATTGAATTTCATTTTGTTAGATAGTGCCCAATGTTCAAGTCTGTCCAGATCCTCCTGTATCTTAAGCCTATCTTCTGGAGTGTTGGCTATTTCTGCCAACTTAGTGTTGTCTGCAGATTGGATGAGTTCCCCATCTATCCCCTCATCCAAATCGTTGATGAAGATGTTGAGGAGCACTGGGCCTAGAACAGAGCCCTGGGCATCGCACTACACTTCCTTCCATGTAGATGCAGTTCAATTGAGGACCACACACTGAGTACGGCTGGTCAGCCAGCTACGAATCCATCTGGTGGTGATGCTGTCTAATCCACATTTTTCTATCTTACCAAGTAGTAGGTTGTGGTCTACTTTATCAAATGTCTTCTGATCAAATGCCAAGTAAATCAAATGCCAAGTAAATTATATCCACAGCATTCCTCTAGTCCACTAATTTTGTCACTTGGTCAAAGAATGCAATAAGATTTGTCTGGCATGATCTGTTTTTGACAAACCCATCTTGGCTTTTAGTAATGACTTTGCCTCTAGGTGTTCACTGATTCGTTGTTTGATTGTTTGATTATCTTTTCCAGAATCTTCCCAGGTATTGAGGTCAGGCTGATAGGTCTGTAGTTTCCTGGATCTATTTTTTTTTCCTTTTTTGAAGATGGGAACTACATCAGCTCTTTTCCAGTCCTCTGGTAGTTTCCCAGTGCTCTAGGATCCATGAAAAATATAGTTCAGTGGTTCTGAGATCACATCTGCCAATTCCTTGAGAACCTTGGGGTGTAATCCATCTGGTCCTGGTGATTTGAACTCGTCTAGGCTGGACAGGTGCTCGCTTACCATTTTCTTGCCTATCTTAACTTGTGTTTCTAATTTGTTTTTTATGGTAGTTTTTGATAGGTTGGACTGTTTTTTTCCCTTTGTGTAAAGACAGATGCAAAAAACAAGTTAAATAGTTCTGCTTTCTCCCTGTTGCTTATCACCTTCTTGCCACTTTCCCCCACTAATGGAC